GGGGCGGGGGCTTCGGGCGGCGCTCGGAGAGAGGGTGACTGGAATGTAGTGAACAATGCTCCTGATGGTGTGCAAACAGAATCTGCAGTTCATTCCACCTTCCCTGTCCGCAGTGCTAAAAGGAGCCAAAGGTAGCATCTGCTTATTTCTATCAATGAAGTGAGCAGACAGAATCCTGAGAATGGTTGAGTAAGAAGGTGCCACGTTTACATAATTGCTTTGCCCAGTAAAATGATTCTTAAGCCTTCTTCCTACATGGGGAAGAGCAGGGAGCCCTTGCGGAACTGGTCTACCCAGTGTGCTGAGACCCAGGCACTCTGCAAGAGTTTCTCAGGCTCTGTGGCGAAGCACTGGGGCCCTCTGGAACCAGGGAGGTGGGCACAGATCCTGTTGTTCATGTGAAAAAAGGGAGGAGAGAGTTGGAAGAGCAGTCTAGAATGGGCATGTCTGACATCCGGAGCTGTACTTGTACCAGGCTGTCTTTGCCCCTTTTTAGATACATTTTAAATCAACTTTCTCCAGAAGACAATTTTCTGCTACCGTGCCAGTGAAACTTATATGGCCTGAAATGTCAAGAACGTGCATTTACACTCTAATGGAAATACCAATAACTTCACCTTTTTTAAAAAAAGCACAGATGTGTAATATATGATACAAATTCTTAGTCCTGGGCATAGGATTTACTAGCTTGAATAGTGCCACAATAAGGTTACTCAAGTGAATATGCCTGGCAGGTTTTTCATGCTCAGGCCCTTAATTGTATTTATTATTCTGTATGTAGGGCCCAATCCTGGGGCGGGCACTGGAAAGCAGGTTTAAAACAAAAGGAAGTATTTTTTCACACAATGCACAGTCAACCTGTGGAACTCCTTGCCAGAGGATGTTGTGAAGACTAAGACTATAACCGGGTTCAAAAAAGAATTAGATACGTTCATGGAGGATAGGTCCATCAAAAGCTATTAGCCAGGAAGGGCAGGGATGATGTCCGTAGCCTCTGTTTGCCAGAATCTGAGAATGGGCAACTGGGGATGGTTCACTTGATGATTACCTGTTCTGTTCATTCCCTCTGAAGCACCTGGCAGTGGCCACTGTTGGAAGACAGGCTACTGGGCTAGAAGGACCTTTGATCTGACCCCGTATGGCTGTCTTATGTTCTTTATATGCACAAAGCTCATTGTGCCATCAGAGCCACAGTTTGCAAAGCTTGTTGGGAATAAAAGATGCTGTATTATAAAAATGGTATTCTCTATGGTATGAGCTGCTAAATTGGAGCCAGCCTTTTCCTAATGATAAAATGTACTTGACATTTACATAATTTTTTAGCTTTGAGACACACACAGGGTGGCCAAGTATTCACCTGTGGGTGTTACTAGGTTAAATGTCAGTTTGATGCATTATCAAGAGAAGATTAGTAACAAGATACTGATCTTTGAGCAATATTATTATTTTTGCCTCTAAAATATTTGTGTAGGGATGGGTAGAGGTGTGGGACATAAGGTGCGAGTGAGCTCCACATTAAATTGGTTTTAGGAAACTATATAAGGGCTGATTTTTCAAACATGCAAAACACCCATGACCTCAACTAAAGTCAGCAGGAGCTGCAGGTGCTCAGCATCTCTCAGAAGTCAGGCCAATAGAAGGAAAAAGTTAGGGCATGCCTCCCTGCCAGTCTGTAAAGAGTGAGCCCATTAGAGAGTCCTGATTCTATGTAACTGGCTCAGGAAGTCAGTGGAGTTACACCAGGTGTAAGTGAGAAGCGAATCAGAACTCCTGTATCTCTTCTTCTATAGTGTTATAATTTCATGGGTATATTCTGATTAAGTAACCAGTGGGGAGGTAGCCGATGGCAAGTTAGAGAATACAGTGATATACTCCGGAGAACATAAACATAAACTTAATCTCTGTTATTTTAGAAGAACTCCGGTCATTTAAATTCAATTTTGTGCCAAATAAAGATGAAATTTCAAGTTATGTGCATTCCTTCTTGGTAAACCTTTCTTACAATTGAAATAGCCTTTAGTTTAAAAGTAAAACTTCACTGGAAAAACGGATACTGTCAAGTTAGCTTTTAAGGATTTAAATTTTGTAGAAAGTGTTTTCAAACTTACATACAGTACTTCTTTTCAGAGTTTTTGCTTCAGAGAATGTTCTAAGGATCCCTGTAGTTTGGCTAGATTTGCCATAGAACTGCCATTATTAAAGCAGCGTTGTGGTAGCCGTGTCAGTTCTAGGATATTAGTGAGAGACGGTGGATGAGATTGGTCCAATAAAAGATATCACCTCACCCATCATGTCACTCTAATAATGAAAGCAGGGCGATGGGAAAAAGGCTCCTTGGTTCCTATAACTCTTGCTGTTCGGAGTCAAAAAACTGCAGTGCTAAAAGAGCTGATGTATTCATTATTTTCCAACTGGTTAAAACAGTAGACTGGGGCAGCAGAGTACTGCGTTCAATTCCTGGCTCTGCTATAGACAGGGCCGGCTCCAGGCACCAGCTTAACAAGCAGGTGCTTGGGGCAGCCAAGGGAGAGGGGCGGCACCTGCAGCAATTCGGGGGCGGCAGGTCCCTCACTCCCTCTAGGAGTGAAGGACCTGCCGCTGAACTGCCGCCGCTGATCACGACACTTTTTTTTTTCCAATTGCCGCCGCCGATCGCAATCGTGGCTTTTTTTTTTTTCTTTTGCTTGGGGCAGCAGAAATGCTGGAGGCGGCCCTGGCTATAGATTTCTGGTGTGAATGTAGGCAAGTCACATAAGGTGAAATCCTGACCATAATTTAGGTCAAAGGGAATTTTGCCAATGACTTTCACGAAGATGAGGATTTCACCCACAGTCTCGCTGAACCTGAGATGGGAATAATAGTACTTTCCCACCTCATAGATATATTACGAGGCTAAATATATTCACAATTATGAGGTGCTCAGATATTATGGTAGGTAGAGTAAATCATTTGACTCTATCTAGGTTCATCTACAGATTCTATCTTGAAGTGAGAGTTGGTTGTTTTTGTTTTGTCATTAATCTAGAATTGTATTGAACGTTTGACTAACTGGACCTCATTTCCAACTCTTACCAAAGAAGATTTTTGTTGCTTAATTAAAAGTGAAAAGGTTTGGATAACCAGATAGATTATACAGTCCAAAATAGTGTTCACAAGTACTGTAACTACCACAACAAATGAATTTTCATTTGAATTTTTAAGTGAATTTGCTTTCATTGTTTTTGCTAATTGTAAACATTCTGGTGAACAAGTTTACTGGCAAAAATGCAAAGGCGTCTGCCGGAATAGTAAACTTTATGCAAACATTGGATGCTAGCTGGTAATGCATATTTTGAATTAGTAAAAATGAGCATTCACACTGAAATCTTAATTCTAAATATTACATTAATCCAGTCAGAGAACAGAAATATACCAATACCATATCTAATTGTACAATGAAAAACTAACTCTCGGAGCTTCAGTATCAAAATACTTGCAACAAACTGCTTAGAAAAATATCTACAGTCCAAAAACTATATGGAGAAATTACTTGTGAACAATTTCTATGTTTCTAGCTCAGTTATGTTCCATTTCCTTGCTTTTCTTTAACATATCTATACCAGCATTGTATGGCTCTGAATTTTCCCATTCCTTTATTGAATCTTTCTGTTTGCTTAAGTGAATGAAGCATCTCTCCCATCTCAGATTGTCTCTTTTATGGCTGCACGTGATGCAAGGGGCCAAGAAACCATTATAAAATCTATTAGACAGTTTAATGCTTTCTTGGCCAGATGTAAACTCTGCTTCATGCCTCAGCAGTCTTTGGGCTTGATCCTGAAAGCCCAATTTCCACTGAAATCAATTGGAATTGCGGGTTCTCACTAGTGGGATGAGACTTTGTCTGTAGGCTAACTTTATTTGAAAGATGGAACATGAGCAGGACATGCAGTTTGGGGCAAGTAAAAGACTGAAAATTCAGCAATTTCTTGTCCCCCTGTGTGGAGTGCCAGAAATGATATTTTCCCAGTATTTATTAACTTGGCCCCAGATTTCAATGCCTCTTGTTTCTGGGTTTCTAGATAGACATTTTTGAGAAGAGGACAAACGCTGTGTTTTGCTATTGATGCCAATGGAATCAAGTTTTGGCTCTATGAACTTGGAAGGTTTGATAAAGCAACAGAAGTTTTAATTCTCAATATTCACTCTTATAGACTAGCTTGAAGCTAGTAGAAAACAGGAATTTCTATTCGCCATTGGACACTTAGCGGCTACCAGTAGTCAGGCGGAAGCTAACAAAGAACCAATCACACAGTTACTTTGTCTTTGATACAAGGAAAGATTATCAATCTTAGGCCCTCAAGTGGTTTTTTTTGCATCTCCTTTAAAAAGGAAGATGCATTTGAAATAGTTCAAGAATTACATTAAATCTGATCAACGTGTGTGGAAGATTGGACTCAGTGCCTATAATGCTAGTTTCAGATTCAGGCTAAAAGTTATAGTTAGAGGTTTTTTTGTTTTTTTTATTCAGTCTATCAGATATAAAGATTTGTACATGCACTTGTTTTAGATTTGAGTGTCAACATGTCGAATTAGATTGTCAATAGTAGCGAACTTGCCTGTTTAAAAAGCTGTTTTATCTCACTGTAGATTTGAGGTGCATAGAGATATTTTTTTTGCCCTATTATTTTAAAGACAGCATTTTATAGATAGAGTGAGAAGAGAGAAGGAGCTTAAAAATTAATGCTATGTTGACAAGTGTCTTTTAGAGCCTATTATATGATAAAAAGATGATTTACTTATAACTTGTATATGGTTGTTTGCCTTTGTAAACATTTTTGTATAAGGAATATATAGAAGTAGGTCTCAGCTCCTTTATTTGTAGAAAAAGAATATGTGTTATGTTCTTATTTAACAGTACACAGTTACAACTGTTGAAAACATGTAACCTAAAAATTGCCTTTAATTTCCTTTTCTTTAGGAAAGGAGTTGTTGATCCTATAACATGGAGGATTGCCTTCATACCTCTTCTGAAAACCTTTCCAAACTGGTCAGTTGGGCCCACAGCCATGGGACCATCTGCAGCCTCATTCCAAATCTAAAGCACTTGCTTTCTGAAGGTTCCCATGGCAACCTGACAGCTATGTGGGGCTGTAGCGCAGGCCATGCGTATCATTGGCCACTGACTGCTACCTGCAGGGCTGGGTCTCAGGAAAGAGTATGTTTCCAGGACAACAGAAGCTTCAACTCAGACAGTCCCAGCATCATAGGTGTGCCCTCGGAGACACAGACTAGCCCAGTAGAGAGGTACCCTGGGAGACCAGTGAAAGCAAAATTGGATTGTAACAGAACCAGGGACTCCTGTGATTTCTCTTACTGCAGTGAGCCTTCAGAGCTAGATGAAGCCGTGGAAGAATACGAAGATGAGGCTACCCTCTTTGACATGGTCTGCGAGTCCTCGGTGACAGATGAAGATAGTGACTTTGAACCTCATACCCAAAGATCTCAAACCATTTCCCGCAAAAGGCCTGGAGCGGGCCAATCCTCATCATCTCTTTCAGGCTCCCAGTCTCAGGTCATCGATGAAAGTAGTAACAATGTGATCGTCAAAAAGATTAAGCAAGAAATCCCTGAAGATTATTATATTGTGGCTAATGCAGAACTTACTGGTGGCATTGATGGGCCTGCATTATCGCTGACGCAGATGTCAAAGCCCAAGCCTCAAACTCATGCTGGACCTTCCTATATTGGCCCTTCTAAGCCCACCCCTCCTGTAGCGCCTTCTCTCAGTGCTGAGCTAGACTTACAAAATGTGTCTGCTTCTCCCCCCGTCATATCGAGGCCTGCAGTTCAGAAGCCTGCAAGAGTAACTCTGGCTTCTCCAAACAGAGGACCAGCTAGCACCCCTACAGCCAACCAACAGGTAGCGCTCCAGATGCCAGTCAGTACTTCCAATACCAGCAAACAGATTAGCATTCCTTTATCAGCCCTGCAGCTCCCTGGACAAGAAGAGCAAGCTGCTTCAGAAGACCTTCTCCAACCCGTGCCAAATCAGGTTCCTGCTGGCGAAGTAGCATTATCTCCTTCAATTAGCGCGGAGCCGGAAGTCAGCTCTAGTCAGCAACAACCTAACACTGCTCCTATCATCACTGCGGAGGCAACAGCACAGTCAATACCAGGTATGAAACTATGGAAAGCTCATACTGTCATGTAGGGATTTCAGTGTCATTCTAAAGGACACATTTCTAAGCCAAGAATTGCAGCTGAGAAAGTGAAATATTGATCATGGTTACCATAGGTTACAGGAAGGTATTACTAGATAAATCAGTAGCTAAGCACCCTACATTGGAAGGGTGTTTGGAAAGCTTTCATTTAATAGAGCCCATAAGCACTTGATGTAGGATAATGTTAATCCAGGGATACTTCATAAAGGAACCAACAGACTTTTTCTCTAAAACAGATAGATCTCAAAGTAGGTTACATTTGACAGTCACATAGTTCTGTAGTGCAATATCTATATGAGACAGTATGCCGCTATCTAGTTATATATAAGGAGTTTTGAGACAGAAAAGCAGACTGTTTGATTCATTTGCTACATCAGAAAGCTAAAATCTTAGTAAAAGCAGCCTAGAGTAGTGGCCAGAGCTTTCCTCTCCCTTCCTTATTCCTATCAAGAGAGCTGACATTTGAAATGCAGAAGCAGGGGAGAGGTGTAACAGTAATGGCCAGAGGGAAGTTTGTCCTATCATAAATCTTTGTTACGTTTTTTCACTAACTTGTAAATCACAGCAGCCTGGAGAGAATGGAGAGAGAGACACAGACCTTTAAACCTTAAAGTAATAGTGCGTATACTTTAAATGAAGCAAAAGAGCTCCTGTCCCATTTTAGTTAACGTTTTCTTTTCAACGTATCCTTGTGTTTCTTTGTGCCTCCCTCTGCCCTCAATGAAATGATAAGTCTAACCAAATAAGTATTATAAAAACATAAATTTCTCAAAACAACACATTTCTATTGATTAATCTTTTCATGCCAGCAATTCTGGAGAGAAATCAAATGCTTTGCATGGGGAAATCTGGTTCTCGGCACCAGGTTATTGAACAGTTAGATACTACCTGTTACACTGTGATCTTTACTGTTGTTGTCAAACAAAATGTTAGCTGTATGTAAAATTTCCAATATTATTCAGTAAAATCCAGCAAAGCACCGTAAGATAGAAAATGCAGAAGTTAGTGTTTTTCATTTTGCAACCAGTGACTCTCATTTCTGTCCATTAGACACTTCCTCACAGCAGTCCTGTCATGTGTAAATTATTTGATGGGGATCCTTCTATAAAACCCCAGCTAAATTCAGATCTGGTTCTGTAGGTTAAGTCCTAGGGAGATGGATTGGTGGGCAGAGGTCAGATGTGGTAGTCAAAGGTTCATGGTAAATTCGTTTATCACATAGTTCTTCAGTTCATCACATAGCTATCACCTTCACATATGTTAGCAAGCCAGGTTCTGCAGTCAGTGATATCTATGGAATTTCAACTTGCTGAGTCACAAACTTCAGTGGGTGCATTGGTATAACCCAGGGCAGAATTTTACTCTGATGTGTGTTATCTCTGAGATTCCTTTGTTTTCTACAGGGTAGTAAAAATAATTTCAGTCTGCTGTAGACAGCAGTTAACAGAGGAATGACTTGCAGCTGTCCTGCCATGGGCAATGTTTTCATCAGCTCTTAGAAACTAAGCAACCTCAAGGCCTGGTTATTACTTGGAATGGAGGCCGCTAATGAAAATCTGGATGCTGCCCCTGAAGTGGTGCTGGTGATTCTGTAGGTTGACCTCTTCCTTGTGAATCAGTTCTGAACTAGTGTCCTAGGGAGACAGAGGTCTTCTCTAGGACAACGGTTCCCAAACTTGGTTCGCGGCTTGTTCAGGGTAAGCCCCTGGCAGGCCGCGAGACACTTTGAGCGGCCGTACCTGCGGACGCTCCAGGTAAACAAAGCATCTCGCGGCTCACCAGGGGCTTACCGCGAACCAAGTTTGGGTACCACTGCTTTAGGATAAGATGCAAAATCAAGGCTTTCATTAAAGATCTCACAACACTTTTTGCAAAGGCAGTGATATTATCTTAGTTTCCTAGTAGTTTTAGCTAACTAAAATATTGTATACTTCCTGTCTTAACTCTTATGTAGTACTCCTATATGCTGTTAAAAGCTTCCATGTTCCACCCGAGAGGTTACTGCATTTCAGCAAAGGGTAAAGGGATTGCTGTGTAGGTAAGGCTTGATCCTGCAACCCTTAGTCATGCCAATAATGTATTGAATTCAATGGGGACTTCTCATGTGGGAAAGGAATAACTGGACTAATAAATGTTTGTTTGAACCACAAATTTGTATTAATAAGTGTTTGTACCAAAAAAATATAATTCTGCAAAGATGATTGAGCTGCTAAAATGTGAGACATGATTTTAAAACAGAGTGGGGTTAATTGAAAAGTGAAAGAGATTCCGCACCTATCGTAAATTTTTTAGGCTGACTCCTGGCTGTATTTCTTAACAGAGAGCGATTCGCTACAAGTGGTGAATGATTTCACGTGGAATTTGAATTCCACTAAATCGTGAGAGGAGGATTGTCCAGCCTACATGATACTTTTCTATCCTGAGCTCATTATAAACCAGGAGCAATACAACTTTTTACTCAGTAGAGAGAATGAATTGGATTTTAAAGCAGGAATCTTTGCCATTGGTTTATAGACTCAATTATAGTGATAGTTTCTTAACAAAATACTACTGAAAAAAGCATGGAGTTTAAATTCTGTCTTTTCCCCAACAAATGCGTCCTTAATTCCAAAGTAACATCTAAGGCCCTGATCCTGCTAAGATTGGTGCACATGCTTAACTTTATGCACTGCTGACGTCAGTGGGACTAACTCAGTGTGTAAAGCTACTAACTCAGTGTGTAAAACACGTGGGTGGGCCTTTGCAGGATCAGGGCCCACACTGGTTAGTTGTGATTAGTAGCTGCAGCCACCACAGTGAAGACATATTGTTTAACATATTCCTGTAACAGGGGATGCACCCTTGAGCAATTTTTTCCAAAGATTATTGTACATGCTCTACAAAGTAAAAAGATTGATAATGGTATGTTTGGTATTAGACTGGATTTGGATCAGGCTCTAAAATGCGTGGGTCATACTGTTTTTTACAATTCTTCCTATCTACACCGTCCATCCAACCTGACTGCCTGCTTCAGACCTGTGAACAGGCAGAGGATTGAAGAATTTTATACTTGCACAAGATTCTTGTCCATTGTACTTTCCTGCTTGCTCATCAAAAACTTGGTAGACAGGGTAGGGGGGCCAGTAAAACATGCAAACTTGGCCAGGAATCAGAATACAAAACCTTTTCCTGCTCCCACTGAATTCAGTGATAAAACTCCCATTGATTTTATTGGGATCAGGGTACGGCTTGTGTCTTGTAGGTGCAGTGATGCAACTGGGATTCAACTCTTAGGTCTTGAAAGCCCTCTAGCTTGTCTCTGCTTTAACGAAGGTTGTGTTTTTGAACAGATTTTGTTAAATCAGCTCAATCTCCTGGGTAGAAAACTCTTAAATCAGTTTTAAAATGGCTTAAATCAATTTAGCTTAATTCATTAAGGAATCGGCTTAAGTTGCATCGAGATAAGCCCGCTTGAAATCAGTTTGAGTGTCCACACTGGGGTTTTGCACAGGTTTAACTTAATCTAATTTTAAAGTGATTTTAGTTAAACTGGTATAACTTTGTATGTAGACAGAGGACCAGATTTACAAAGATATTTAGTCCCCAAAAAATGCAGTTAGACATTTACTGGGATTTATAAAAGCACTGGGTGCTAACTCGGAATGAGTTCAGGGCTCAGGCTGAGGTGACTTCTGTTGAATTAATTTCTTAAATCTTATAGTTTATTTTTTGAGTATAACACATAGGAACTCCTCTATGTGTTTACAAGTTAAAATAAAAACTGATTACTGTAACCTGCTATACTCATTAACTCTAGCCAATTCCCCATCTTATGCCATGCAAGAAACGGCTAATATCTAGGATTTTCTTGTGGAGTCACTGGGGGAGCTAGGGTTACCATATTTAACAAAGAAAAAAATAGGACCCTCCACGGGGCCCTGGCCCCGCCCCAACTCCGCCCCTTCCCCGCCCCAACCCCACCCTAACTCCGCCCCCTCCCACTCCCACTCCCAGCCACGCGAAAAGGGCTGCCTGAGCGCTACCGGCTTC